ATAGAGACAGAAAGTGAGAAATCACCCCCCTGGGGGGATGGTCACACCACAATCCTTTCTCCTCCATTCTCCTCTCGGGATCTTGGGCACGCACGCACACACGCCCAGCGTGAGTTTTAAGTCACCGGGTCTGGGACGCGAACCGTGGTCGACTATGTGGGAGTCCAGCGACATAGCCATTACGCTAACTGCTGGTTCCCGCCAAGTTTTCTTTTTATTTATTTTTTTAATGTGATTTTTTGCGATAGGGCATCCCCGGCTACTCACCAGAGATAAAGAGATAAAAAGCAAAAAATCATTTTACCCCCTGCCCCCAGTGGGGATGGCCACACCTTAATCCCTTCTCTTCCATTCTCCTCTCAGGATTTTGGGCACTCGCATTTCAAGCCACTGCGTCCGGGACTCAAACCTCAGTTGGCCATGTGAGAGTCTAGGGCCTTAACCACTACTCCCGTAGGTGTCAGAGGAAGCCTGTAGCGGGGAGTCAGTCCCATCCCTGCCCTATGTCCATCCTCCCAAAAAGGAATTTGGTGAGAAGCCCGATAGACCTGCGGCTGCTCAGGGACTCCGCATCAGCCCAGGAAAAGGCCCTCATCCCGCAGGGTTCTGGGAGCTCGGGTCCCTCCGTGGCCGAGTGTCTGTGTGTGGACAGAGGTCCAGAACCAGGAGCAGCCTGTCTCCAGCCCCTGGCACAGGTCCGGGGAGCGGGTCCCAGGGAGGGTGCTGTTTCTGGCCTAGGCCTCCTCACCGTGCACCATGCAGGGGAGGACAAGTGGGAGGGGTACGGTGCTGTCTGCTGAGTGGCTGCTGGACCCCTGGCCCTCAGGAAAGTGGGTCAGCCAAGACCCTCCGAGGGCTGCTGCACCCTTAGTCCCAAATGGCCTTAGCTGGGGCCCAGGGCTGGGCCCATCTCCTCGTGCCTTTCCCCCGGGTGGGGTCCTGCGGGCACAGGCAGAGGAGGGGTCTCGTGTCCGTCCTGGATAGTCTGTTCCAGGGGAGGCTCTGGGGGACAGGGGCTGGCCCGGAGCTGTGGGGGCTGGTGATGGCTGTGAAGGGCAGGTTCGAGCCCCAGAACTGCACCTGAGCTGATGGCCGTGGGGCCTGGGAGGCAGGCACCCCACAGCACGCTCACTGCTCTGTGGTCGCTACTCAGCCAGCCGGGTGATCTGCACAGGGGGCCCAACTCAGGTGACGGGTCCTGCAGGGGTGCGCGTGAGGGGGGTGTGCCCTCCTGCCTCCCACCCGCCCTTCCCCAGGGCGCACTGCCAGCTCCAGCCTCACCTGAAGGCCTGGCCCTGGCCTGTGTTCACCTTGCCCAGCTGGTTGGCTGCCTGGCTGGCCCCTGGGTGCCCTGAGGGCGGGGTGGCTGTCACCTCCAGCAGAGCCCAGGCTGAGCATGGCCCTGCCCTCACCACCCCCTGGGGTGAGCAAAGAGGCAGAGACAACTGTTCCATCTTTATTAGAAAAGAAACCAAAAAAAGGGTGTGGGCGAGCCCACCCTGACGACCCCTCCTCTGGGACAGGCGGAGCCTGCTCATCCTGCAGTGCGGTGGGGTGGCCACAGTTGCAGGCCAGGGTGGGCACACTGACAGGTCGACGTTTCATAGAAAAGGGGGCTGCCACGCCGCCGGGGCCCACCAGGCCTGTCCTCCGCCTTCTCTCGCCGGGGCAGGGGATG